GTTAAAAGACAGTGAAAAATAAATAAATATAAGATGAATGATAAGAACAGTCTAAGAAGACAATCCACACGTTTTTGCGTTTCACCCATCCCAAACAAATACCGTTTAGTATCTAACATAAGTGATTACAACGACTATAGAATAAAATATAAACTGTGGTGTAACATTATAGATGACTAAAAATTCACTAAATGTATAAGTTAGTTTTAATTTGAAAAATGGTTAATTTACCGACACAAACACTAAAAATTCGGATTATTATGTCGTATAAAAAATGCAATTAAATTACGTATCCGTGAAGCTCTTTGATGTTTTTAATCAAAAACTACTCTCAAGTGTTGTTTCCCTTCTCGTGTTTGATTATGAATTGATAAATTAGATGACTTAAGTTCGTGAAGGAATTTATTTTATACCATGTTAACTTAGAGCAGGCATGTCGAACTCAAATTATCTAGTGGGCTAAATATAACGAATAGTTTACTAAGCTGGCCACACAGAAACATTTAACGAAAAAATAAGTATTTTATATTATTATATATACATACAAAACTATCTATAAAACTTTTTCGATTACAGTTTATCACAGTTTATCAGAAGATGAAACATAATAAAATACACCAAATATACCATTCTCTACGAATCTAAGGTGGCTGCAACACGAAATAATATTTTATGTATTATTTTACTTCAATTCATTTTTTAATTCGTTCATTAATATTGATAGTCGTAGGCCACAAAAAAATTAGCCGCGAGCCGCGTGTTCGACATGCCAGACTAGGGTATTGCCACTTAGTGTAATTTTTAAAAAAAAAAAGAAAAAATGTTTATGACGGAAAAACGTACAATAAATTAAAAAAATTTTAACTTTTTAATTTAAGTAATATATAAATTTGAGATTTAGAACAAATTGTCAAAAAAAAAAATGATGAATGACATTGTATTGCATCAAATAATATAACAAAAGAACAAATAAGTAACTGTGACATTATTTAGAATTTTCTCTGATAAAAATATGATCATCTTTAAACAAACCCCTGATGCACTAATATTGTAAACAGTGACACGGTTCTGTGCTGTAGACTAAGGGTACAGGGAAAGCATCAAGAATGAATTTACTTATTTTTTTTTTACAAAATTTTTACATTTACAAGTTATCTATCTATAAACATATTTATGACCCTGACCTTGTCTAATTAATTAACATTAGTTATTTATGTATTAATAAATTTATATAATAAAGTAGCAACTCTATTATACTTATTCGTGTTCAGTCGCAATTTCATTCATTTTGTATACGCATGAAGATGAATATCAAATCCGAAACCGGTCGTACTTTACAAATATAACAATTTTCCAGGCTAAGTTTTTATTTATTTCTAATATAAACTATTTGTTTGTTTATACATTAAAAAATATATAAACCACGTGGAGTTTATATTATTATATATTATAGTTTATATATTATACCGACCGGTCGGTAATAAATCGTGTGATACGCGCGCGCAGACCCGGAGAAGATATCTCGGTGATCTCGTTGGTTCGTATTATTTATGCAAAGATTTTATTTTCCTCCGGCGAGTCGTCAAAGCGTGCTTTTTCGCGTTATCACAACCCGACGCCCACCACTGTCGCGCCAAAGGTACACATTAAAATAGTGCTTAGAGCGTTACATCCCGTCACGCTAACCATACGTGAACGTCTGTATACGTATACACTAAAATGTATTAATGTACCTACCAATTTACATATAATATTTATTGTACATAGTACAGAAGCTCTTGCCACCGGTCGAAGTATAAACGAGCACATGCACTCGCACGCGAACTATTACGCGTGTTTAATATAAGCACGATGACGTCATAACATCACAATTAAGTCGTGTCGAATTGTTTTCGCGAATTATCACTCTAGTTTCACCCGTTAAACACACATTTTGTAACATTTTTTTTTTTTTTTTTTTAATTAATTGTCTAAAACTACTTCATATACCATTAAGACTAACTGGTAATATTACTCCGAAAAGTGCTTGACAAACAAGCCCGGATACAAAACAGAAACGCGTGGGCCAACTTCTCGTATAAAAACGTCATCCGACTTCCGGACACACCAATCTGCGATGCGAATTTAACGGGCGCGTCGTCGCTACGAGTCATACGATCATATGGTTTATAGTGATATATGGTAGTTATTTTTATTATACCGATATCGCGGTCAACTTTGCAACATGATTAAGTGTCAACGTTTTTCCTCCCACGTACATTTTTACGTCACACGTTACTGTTAAAACCCGAAATCCTTCAAAACTTCTTTCCATTAATCCTTTTAGTCGATTCTGGTTTTGACTAGTTAAAATTAGAATTAACAGCAGGTTTAAATAAGTCAATAAAAACTATTCCCATCTGAAATGCTTGTATTCGAATTTTTACTATCTAAAACTTACGTGACCACAGACAATCTATAAATATTTTTCGATAAATTTGACCAGCCGGCTATCAAATCAATTAAGAAAACCACAATAATTCGTCCATCATATCACTTAGATACGATAACTTTGGCAGAATCTAACAATCAAGGTCTGAATTTATAAGAAGAATTCATCAAAGAAAAAGAAATTAATAAATGATTAAGAATAAATAAGTTCCAAACAATCATATTTCCTTACGTCCAACAATATAAGCATCGACGAGATAAGGCTAAGGCTTTTTATAAAGCACATTAAAAAATCCTGTGGAACAAACCACTGTTCATGTTAGAATGTGATTTAAAATTCAACAATACTATGTCCTGTCAAAATAAATAATATAACAAATGCGTACAACTATTATCCTAATATGTACTTATATTTGTAATTTTCCATAGTTTAAACTAGTTTAACATATTAATATACCGTTAATGTACTATTATGAATTTTCACTAAATATTTCTAGTTCTAACCAATATATTTCACACGCAACCAAGTCTAACAAAATAAGTTAAAACTAGTTTTAACGGCGAGGGCCTTAGTTAATTTTAGTTTTAACAAGTTAAAGCCAGAATTGACAAAGGGATTTGTGGAAACTAGTTTTGACAGATTTCAGATTTTAACTGTAACATATACGAGTCTATATATATATATATACAGTGTACTCTCGATTATTCGTAGGATAGGATGGCTTGGCATCCACGAATAGACAAATTTCATGTATAACTCGTTAAAATTCAAATTGAAACGGAAATTTAATAAATTTACTATTAAATAATTAAATATTTTAATGTTGTATTTAAGTAAAATTAAATAAGAATACCTTTTGTTTTTATTTAAAAAATACATATAATATGGCATACTCGTACTATGTTTAAAGTTCATATTTATTTTTAACGTGGAATTGCAATTTTTTCAATAACTATCCGTCACTCTGTATATCATATATGAATAACATACATATATATATATATATATATATATATAAAAATATTAATCTTTTTTTCGTTTATATATGTATAATATGTACATGGTTCGTTTCGCAGACAACCGTGGATAATCGAGAGTACACTGTATGAAAATGTTTTTTGTCGGCACGTTCCTAACGGACGGAAACCCGGACACGGGAAACGTTTTTTATACATTACTATATCCGCAACTCCGGCCGAGCACATGCTTTAAGAATGAACAACGTACGTATGTGGCGATACTGTAACGGTAAATAAATAATGACGTTTTACTATTGGCACGTGAACATATCCGCGATTATTTCTTATCTATATAATCGTTATGAATAGGCCTCGTATTTGGATGTCTTTAATAAAAATTATTTCAACCACGAAAATTATTTTTTGGGTGCATTATAACTAGAAAAACTAGAAAAGAAAATTTCTTTAAATTATTCAAAATAATTTTCAATTTTATCAAAATTTTAGTCAAAAGATTAAAGGTCGATGTAGATGTTGAAAAATAAAAAAAAAAATAAAAATCAGTACTCAACAATGAGCAACAGAATTCCAAATAAGCGAATCAGTAAAAATGGTTGAATTTAATAGAATACCATTTAGAAAAATTATCTAGAGTTGAAAAACCTAAACACAAATACCAATTTTTAAATCTGGTTTTTAATAATAAGAATGAAATAAAGATTATAAATCTTATTTTATAATTAACAGAAAAGTTATTTACAAGCAGTTCCAGAGCTTTTAAGAATTGCAATCAAAAATCAGTTTAAAATCGGTTCTTATTAAATTACTAACTGCATTTCACTTTGCTGATAACCGTTCTAAGTTACTTAATAAGACTTAGTGGCATTCTATTGTTTACACTTTTTTTTTTCAAAGACATATTACCAATGTTTGAGGAGTTACGGAGTAGGACGATGGAAAATTTTCTAAATTTAAAAGAATTTTAAATCGAAAACGTTTTAAATAAAAATCTTCTTGAGTTGAACAAAAGCGTCGTATAAAAAATGTAATCAAAAAATTCTAAAATTCATTAAAACCTGAAGCGCTCGTATTTTGTAACCGAATTATAAAAATCGAGTGAAGAAATATCGTCCAAACGGATATTTACTGGACCGCACGAATGACGTTGTACGGTACACGATGATAATATCATATACTACGTATTGTAGAAATTATCAGGCTAAACTGCGCTTTTAAAATTTTTTTTTTTTTTTACATTAATACGACGCACGTGACTTTCGTTGTTCTGTTGCACCGCATACCTGTACCGCTGATGATGAGACAACGGAAACAATAAACGCAATGACTGTGACGGTTACCGCTCGCCGCTCGTAAACGAAGTAGTCGGTTAAAGTTATAGTTTCAAAGAACTGCGACGACTGCCATACATGAGACCTACGCATTGCATGAGAAACACGGTCGTCGGCATCGTAAAAACCGTATCGAATGAACACAGTAACATCAGTCGATGTACACAACACGTATTGTAAATTTAATATTGACACGAATTCCAAATGATAATAAAATCGTCGATCGCAACACTACGTAAAGCCAATTGATCAACCAATTACCTAGTGAACAACGCAGCTAGTCCCCAGGCCAGCAGGCATATGATCATCGCTCTCGTCTTGGTGCACACGTAACCGGCCCGCAGCGGTTCGCAAATGGCGTAATATCGTTCGAAGCTGATGGCCAGTATGGTGAGTACGGAGGCATGGGCTACCGTGAGCTCGACGAACGGTACTGCTTTGCCTGAAATCACAGTGAAAACTGATTATTATTTTGTTGTAGAAAAAAATGCGCGATACGAGTGAAACAAGTATCGGTGTTTAGGTTGTCTCGTTTGATTTCATGAAATCAACGCATCACTATTCATATCGGCACGTGACGGACCGACTCCCCCGTTAACCATATGCGTGTATGAAATACGTAAAGCATTGGCAGACGCGTGGAAAAATGGCCTACGGAGCAGTAATTATATGTACAAAAGACATAACATTTCGACACTACGAACCAACTTTGTCATAATGATTTTTACGACTAAAATAACACCGTAAACACTGTTGTAATCGTAATTGCAATATGGCGTATTGAGACTATCTCGTGTAAGGATTTAAAAACGGTTATACCTATATTTTACAGTGGCAACACATAGGCAAAGTGTAAACTACCCGACAAGCGTAATTTGCTTAAACTGCACTTTGATCGTAATACATATATGTAATCATTTATATTCTCGCATCTAGATCCGGTGCATACTACTTGCGTCTCAGATTTTATTTAATTGGTAAGTTTCGTCCCGACCAAAAAGGTCGATAACAGGTCGTAACCTACTTTCGTCCTAATAGAATTTTTTTAGTAAACTTGTTACTTCCCGATAATCTACAGCTAAAATATCGATTATATGATCGGGAAAATATCGATTGTATACTATAAATGATTTCTTATAAATACATAGATATTAGATGTATATATAAAAAAAAAAAAAACATCAGTGTAAAATAAATTTTAACATAAAATTTAAAATATTAATAAAAAAAAAAGACATCGGAATGAAATAAATTATGAGTATAAAATGGTTAGGTTAGATATAAAAATTAAAATTCTTTTCTAATCGGTCTACTCGGTGTCTGGAGTTTGATAAACTCCAATAAATTGTGGTATACGAGTATAAAACACAGATTAAACTGATACAATTATTGCTAACGTAATGTTAATACGATTCGCTCAATTTATAGGACCGTTATAGTAAAGTTGATTCGTTATCGATAGTATCACACATTTTTGTTAACATATCGGCAGTTATGGCATAGCCGACTTGCGTCCCGATATCGGGATGCAAGTTACCGATCGGATTTATTACCTGCTTAGTATACCTTTTTTAGGGACACAAATCGTATGCAGCCTCTAGATCCGAATAAACAATAACTTGATGTACTAATATATAATAAAATTGTCACTGTACGAACCGATCGTCTGTGCGCATATTTCGATGCGTAAATTACATCCACTAAATCGTACGGTAAAAAGCAATAAATACTTCGGGACACGGTGTTGTAGGTAGCCAATGAAAACGACGAAGTTTCTTTTTTTTTAAAAAAAAAACCTATTTAATTGACGTTTACCGGCGATACGTTAAATCCCTACGGATTTAACCCTATGTAATATATTTTACGGGTAAAATAAAATATTATTTCGAGCAACAAGTAGGTTTTACACAACATTTCATACAAATCCCGGGCGTTTGCCGGATAATTGATTTTATCCGTATGATATGCAGATAACCGGTAACTTAAAAATGCACGGTCGAATAATGTCCACCATCTTGTTGTAAATCTATTTTTTACTGTATTATTATGTGTACACTATATAAACCGTTATGTAAACCAAGTGTTAAAAATTTAACTAAAATAATGACGGATCCGTTTCGAAGAGTCGAAGGATGATGTTCATATTCATCATTGTTTATCGCCTCGCTTTAATTAACTATCACTTCTTCTTTCTGAAGTTCCACACTTACAAATTATTATACTTGTATTCTGCAAAAACTAATAAAATATTTTTTATAGCCGTAAACATGGTCTTTCGAAAGAATAAAGTTTTTATACCTAAAGCCATCGCAGAAGAAAAATATTATGACACAGACAAATTGAGATGAAACGATCGGAATTTCGAAGAGCACAGCTTATATTAAAAAAAAAAAAAAAACCTTTTTACCAAAAACCATACTCGTACAATATATCTTATTAAACTACACGAACAAAATTCGATTGACAGATTTTAATATAATAAGGAATATTGCGGGATTTAAATCACGCGAATACACTCTTTGATATTATTGAAGTTATTGTGCAACATATTGTGATTCGTTATTATCGTAATATTTATGACCGCAATGAATTTTTCTATTACAAAACAACTCTCGCGCATGCACTGACAATGACAATCGTAGGTTTTTAACGATGGTATGTCGACCCCGTTTTATACATAAATACGTACGCTGCTATGAATAATACTTTAATACAATCGTACATAAAAATAACAGTTGAACAAAATTGCAATATAATATTCACCAAATTGAATGTACCGCGTTAAGATTTGTATTCAATTTGTTCTCTGGAAAGTAATCCTCGGCCTCTTAATATCATTACGTCTTTTTGATGGCTGTTATAAAACGATCTTTCCCAACAACGTTCGAAGGATTAAGAAAAACTCCAATGTCCGGAACGATTATACTCGATGATAACACTGGAACGCCAGTATATATTTATATGTTACGGCATGACGCTGAGTACGGTTTTTATGCGTTTTTCTCGTTTACGAACAAATAATAGTAATAATAATAATAATAATGATAATGTGAAGACAAAAATAACAAATTTGGTCGTGCTCTTTTTGCGTGTTGCATATAATTTAAATCCTCTCCGTCCTCAAATGACACGGTCGCGGTCGGCTCACGCACCACACAAAATGTTTACGTTATAACGTTTTCATTACACGGTTTTTTACATTTATAATAATAATATATTCATTTCGCTCGTTCCTCGTCGTTGCGACTGGCGCCTACACATCGGCTGTGCCAAATAAATTTGTTTTCTATTCAAAAACGCACGTGCAGTTGCCAATTCGAACGCCGTGTTCAAATATTTGGTAACCTGTAACAACACCGAACCGCCGCGGTAACACAATAATAATTATTAAAAACGTCGATAATATTTACGGACTCGATATTACGATTGATTTTAAAGTGTATTGCAGGCACACCATGCTGTTATTACATTTAGTAGCGGTTACACGAACGCAGCCACAAAACTTTACTGCGATCTTATGCATACGTATAGGACTTGATAAAAACAGGTTTACAACAATAAAAAAAAAAAAAAAAAAAAAACGCTAAATGGTTGCTAATTTTACCGATTTTGATAATTGGTCGGTGCAGATTTTAAAATCAATAATATTTCATATTGAAGGAAAATACCCGTGGATCGTGATGCAATAAATTGCGGAAAACGCTAAGCAATAAGTACGATATGCCTTTATATTCCTTTTGAATCGAATATTTTCATGATTACGTGTTACAACGTTGAGTATATTTATGTCATTATCCACCCTCCCCTTCTTCCCCCCATCCCCGAACACAACTACTTGCAGTAACGGTTTATAGCTATCCGCGACGTTTTTAATATTATCAAACGCGCGGGGGGCGTTTAACGAGATTGTTTTACATCTTGAAATCCAGATCAATTTTCATCTGTTGGGAAACCGTTACTTAAATTTTAATCAGACGCGCGAACAATTCTCCGCGGAAAACGATCCCAATTACAATTTTAATAAATTTCAATTATACGCTACTGTTGAATAGTGATGATAAATTATTTTATATCATAGCCCACGTTTAAATGTTTACGTGCGCAGTGCATTTAATATTATCAAACGGTATTCAAACATTATTGTTCGCATTAAATACACGGTTAATTGTGTATGAGTTCTGACCGTGGGCGCGTTCGATCCAAAAATAATGTCAATATAAGATTATTGTAAAGTTATGCACACATATTATACACAGTTCTGCGCATTACAAGACGGTGATATACGCTGTAATATTTTATGCGTATAAAAAAATCATTGCGTTCGTTAAAACGAATTACAAAGTTACACATATGAGGTGAAATATGACACAAGTTTTCAGATATTAAATATTATATTATTTATTTTTTTACGTAGGTATGGGAATGAGATATAGTGAAACGTACTCTTAATTTTTCTTTCTACCGAATCGAACATCGAACAAGGATATAACTGCAGCGTGTAAAACGCAGACGTACTATTCAAGCATAAAATGGAAATATTTAATTTATTTCTGAGTATTTTTTCAAACTATTTTTTTTGTTCATATATCTTCTATGTTAAAAGTTTTAAAATTATTTTTAAATAAAAATATTCAATAATAATATATGACAGTTGTGTTATTGATTTTCTATGCAGATGAAATCTAAACGGTTTACAGTTGTTTGAATTATATATCTATGTAATAATTTGAACAGGGTTATTTTCGAATGACATTTTTATTATACATTTTTAAAAAATATTTGATATATATATATATATACGCAAATTATTATTAAAATATGACTATTGTACGATTGTTATTAAACTATTTTTATTACTTGATCAAATTTGCGTTTATCGATAATGCCGTAAATAAACGCGGATCATAGTTATAATATATCTTATAAGATTTTCATTTACCTGAACAGGTTATTAATACTATTCATATTATTTCAATTTATTTATTGATACCGTTGATCCAGCAGATACAAAAGCCCCGTCGCGACGCGTCGATTTGACGAAAGTTACCGTTCACCTTCTTTCCGAAATCGAAGACCTACCCGAGACGATTTGCACGACTAGGAAAGAAGATCTCCCCCCAAAACTAATCGAGTGGTTTTGCGAACCGGTGCGAAATGGTGCAATATTCAGAGTGATTCCAGCATTGCATTGCTCATTCACTTATCCCATCTCATGGGGCGATATTCGGAGTTATTCTGGCATTGCACCGGGTGTTAAACCGCATGGCAATTTTCTTTTCCCGTCGATTCGTCGTTTGCGGAGCGTACTGTTTCTATCGCACTTGTCATTGCGACAGGTATAAAAGTAATTGTAATTGTTATTATTCTTTCTTGTATCTTCACTGTCACTACCCCATGATATATTAACTACTGATTGTTATTATTTTTGGTTTGTTTTATTTT